TTCTATCCCAGCACAGCCCAACCACCTGCTGTTCTCCAGATCGGGAATCTGTTGGTGCCTCTGGGCTCCTGCACGTGCTGGTCCAGAATTTCCACTCCTCGCCTGCCTGGTAGACTCCTTTCATCCATAAGACCCAGCCGAGGTTTCCCCTCTTCTGTGAAGCCTTCCTGACTTTCCCTTTCTTCCTCCTCATGAGAGTGGGCCAGCCCTGCTTCTCCAGTGCCTCTGTGCTCAGGTCAGCTTCTGTGAGCCTGTTCATCACACTGCAGTGGGCGGTGAGCCTGCCCCTCCACAGGGCGGGGCAGTAGGGCGTGGTGATGAACTCTGGAGAGAGCGGGCGCTCTGAAGACAGCTGGCTGCCTAGTGGCAATCCTGGCTCTAGCGCTAGCTCTGTACCTCAAGCAAATTACAGGACCAGCCCATCTGTAAAACAGGGTGATGAACAGTAACTCTCTCTTATGTTTGTTCCAAGGACTCAATGACCAAAACGCAGGTAAAAACGTTAGCATGGTGCCTAGCAAGGAGCAAAGTCAGTAACATTGAGCTCCTATGCTTGATTTTTCATTAAGTTATTAGAGTGTGCACCACTGAGTGCATGCTGGGTCTTAGCCACCCCTGTAACTCAGAGCATACAGCAGGCACTCATGAAAGACGAAAATGAGGAATTATGCATCCAGCGGATGGATGCCAGTTGCGAGCTCAGTTCTGTGAATACTCCATAAGGCTAATCAGCCTTGTTCTAAACGTCAAACTAAGACACTGAAAAACAGACCTCAACAGAGTTAAGTGGGGGCAGAAGAATGAGGACGCAGGTCAACCAAAGGCCTTTGTGGGGCTTACTGAGGCTGCATCCAAACTCACTGTGAGCACCACCCGCCCCGTGTGTCCCACCACTACCCCACACCCTCTCAACCTGGCCAAACTCTACCAAAACGTTCCTGATGGGAATCAGTCCTATCCTGCAGGTCTGGGGGACAGTAACAAAAGCTTAAGGACCACTGATCTAACATCGGCATGAGAGATACATTTAAGCAACTCTAGGCTCCAACAATCTGTTCCTGCCTCTCTCCCTCATACTTCCAGCTTACCCACCCCCTCTTTTCGTAGCGGATATTCTTCAATTGACAGAAGCAGCCCTAGGACTCTGCCTTCTAGGTATGCTCCACCTGTGTGCCTGGGGCACCTCTGGAGTCCCTCTGAGGCCCCTGCGTTCTACTGAAGACAAGTAAAAATGAGCAGCAGGTGAAACAAGCATTAAAAATGATTAAGTGTTCAATATACATACAGGCTTTCCCGTCTATGTCAAGTCCCAAGGAGATTGTTCATTTCCCGAATTCAATGTTATCCTCCTGCTACAAGGATCCCTGGCCCAGGTGCTCAGCTGAGTCAACTAAGAACAAGTCGGGGAGCTTGGGACACACAGCAGGCGCTTTGCATGCAAGAGAAAGAGTTCAACCGAGCCTCCACTTCAGGGGAAAGCAGCTCTGGAAACCAGAATTCAGGTGACCTATCTTCTGGGGGACCCTGTGCAGGGAGTTTAGAGAATAACCATCATGACTGAGACGTACAAGGAACCTCTAACAAGAGACCTGGGGCTCTGAAATTTGCCCACTGTGTGAACTTGTGCCTATCACCCTCCCTCTTGGGGCTTCAGCTTCCTTGTTTATAAAATCAGGGACGGGTTTCTAAACTTCTTTTTTTTTTCCAGTAGCAAAAACACCTTTCTGCTCCAAATGCAATCTATGAGGAAACTCCAAGACATAAAACATAGGAGTGGAACAGCCGTGACCGAAGTACGTTTGTGGGACTTGCGAAGCCCCACCGGCCTGATCCTGTCTCCCAGGATCCTGGAAACTCGGGGAGCAGTGTTTGCAAACCACATCGCCTTTCTTAGATCACATCAAGTGGAAATATTTTAGGATGTTACTTACAAAGGACCTTATGATGCCTACCGATATGGAATGGATCAGAAATAGACCAGATTGATTATTATTTCATTTAACATTTTTATTATGGAAAATTTCAAGCATATTCAGAACAAGAGAGAAACCCGAAGAGCTATGACCCAGCCTCAGCAATTGCCAAGTGGCGGCCAGTCATGTTTCACCTCCACCCTACCTGTCTCCATATCCCTGAGATTATTTTTAAGAAAACCCCCAATCTAGTATCATCTGGTCAGTTTCATTCCCGCACTAAGAAAAACAACATTAATGCCTATATTACTGACTGTATTCCCTGTGCTGTGTTTCATATCCCTGCGGCTAATTTATGCTCTATGAGTCTGTTCCCCTTTTCTTGCCCATCCCCCCAGTGCCCAACCCTCTGGCCACTCTCCATTTGTCCCCTGTATCTGTGAGTCTGTCTGCTTTGTTTTGTTTGTTCATTTGTTTAGTTTTTTGAAATTCCACATAGACTTCTCCTGGTGATCACTTTGTATTTTTCACATTACCTTACACTTACGGTCCCTCCTCCATCATTTTCCCTCCTTACAATTAATTTGATGAGTCACTTTTCGGTAGTTTCCCACAGCCTGGATTTCCATGATTATCACCGTTGATCATTTAACATGCACCTCTGCCCTCCATGTTTCCAGTGATTCCATCATTAGATTGAGGGCCTTAACTAGTTCCCTCGGGAGGCACAGAACACCCGGTTGTTTCTCTGTCTAAGCTGTTGACAGCCATGGAGGACCACTTCTATAGGAGACTGTTTATTTTTCAGTTTCTTAACATGTTTCATACATATACAATATACTTAAAGTTACACCTTTTTTATTTTTACCCGAATTACATTAAACCCTAGTATTATGAAACTTTTATTTAACATGGAATTGTTGATATTTTTTAAATTAGAATTCAGTAAGGTACACTTAACATGTTAATAATACTGAATATAGTTCAAATTCTAGCAATTTACAGTTTAAGTTCTGGCATTTATCCAGAATGGTGCCTTTACATTGTGACTGATAACTAGTTGTTGAACAAATAAGCAATACTATTAAGTCCCATTGACATCTAAGAAACAGACGTGTGTATACTATCAACTGGCCTGCACAGGGCTCCATCAGATGTACTGTGTGAAGAGTCTTCTAGAAATTCCCAGTTGTCTTCTCATATTATAAATTAGGATCACTCAAGCAAATCCTGTTTTTCACTACTTCACTACAAATTGTTTTTTTAAGCAACTGCATTATTAAAAAAAAAAAAGCATGACTCCATTTTTTGCTACTTTAGTTCACTCATTCATCAGTTTTCTCCTCCTCCAAGTCACCTAACTATAAGCCATTGCCCTAGATCAATAATCAAACCAATAATTCCTGTTGCTCCCACTAACGCTAACTGGTAGTCACAAAATTAACAGCCTGTTTCCATGTGGCGGTCTTAAGGACCCCAAAATGATCGATGCCGGTATGCTGCTCCATGACCAGGCGCTGCCTGTGGTGAGAATCGGCCACTCCCCACGGCCAGTTCTAGTCCCATGAAAGAAGCCAGAGACATGAGCAATCAAAACAAAATCCCTTAAATCCTCTGGGATAATTTACTAGACATATACTAATGCCAGTATCTGGTATGAAAGCTCAGATTATGAACAAGTAAGTTCTTATCAGGAAAAGACTAATCAAAAATCTCCTTCCAAGTCCATCTCAGCCACCTCAATATTTGTCATTACAAATATACTTACATCTAAAGTACAGAGTGTAGACCAGCGATTTTTCAACCAGTGCGCCACAAAAGGTTTTAAAGCGTGCAATACCTGAATATTTAGTCAGGGGCACTGACGTCTTTTCCCCTAGATTGCCAAATAAAAAAATGACAACAGCCAACAGAACAGTAGCGAGCCGGTGTGAATGAATCAGAATTATACCTATTTTTTGTCCTGTGGGCAACAAGTATATCTTCAGTTGTGCCACAGAATTTTAGTAATTAATTTGTGTGTGCCAGGAGATGAAAAGGGTTGAAAGGCATTGGTGTAGCAGAACGGAAACAAGATGGTGGCTAAGTGGTTTTTAAACCAGGCTCATGGAACCAAGGATGCAGAATGAGAAAGGGCAGGCGTTGAGTGTTCAGCCAGCAGCTCTACCCTGCTTCTCCATCCCCGCCCCCGCAAGGGCCCCTGAATCACTCAGAGTGATAACCATCCCCTTCAGCATTAAGGAAGAGAAGGAAAGACGCCCGTTGTAACCGGTCACCACATCAGGTGCCCACCCCGGCCTGACCCAGGGGCTGCCTCTGCCAAAGAAGGGAAGGGTTGCTCTTAAAAAGTCATATTGAGGCAAAGATGCCCAGTGCCAGGCACCGGGTCCCTTACATCCTAGTGGTTTCACCAAAGGCATGTCCACCAGCAATTAAAGATCCCTAAATCTGAATTAACTGTTACTCAACCAGTGACTCAAGGCAAGTTCTTGGGTCTATCCCAGAGGGACTTAGATTCAGGTTCTTGGTCCATCTCGAACTAGCCCTGGGCAAATAACTTATCTGGGACACTTCTTCTGGTCTCCAAACTGGAGGACCACTTCCACCACCTTCTAGGGTTTCCAAAAGGATTAGAAAGGCTAATTCACAATAAAAGCTAATTCCTTTCTTCTCCACTCCCGGGCCCTTTCACTCACTCCGCTTCCATGTTCTTCATCCGCAGGCCCCACCTACTCCGTCTGCACCCCGTCACCAGGGACTGTTCCCGTTCACTCAGCGAGCACCTGCTCTGCCACAGGGGCTCCTGCACCGGAAGATGAGCAGGATATAAGCTCTGTGCCCTGTGCCATTTTTGGTCTAGGGACAAACTGATGGCGTGTCATCAATCTCAATCCACAGGCAATGCCTTTGCCTCCCCAAGTCACCCCAGGACAAGATGCTGCATCAAAATAAATCTGTCCCCCAAATCCCAGAACGAGCAAAGGTCCACTTCACAGACACCCCAACCACCTGGGTGGACTTGGCAAGCAAATGTTTTTTCATAAACCAGCACCTCTCCACCCCCCCCAAATACAGCACCCCACCAACCTCATCACATCTTCAACAGCACCCACATTTCCAGGGTGAAGTGTGTCCTTGGGGCAATGGCAAGAACTCCAGCATACTGGAACAGGCTCACATTAGAACCATAACCTTCAAACAAGCAATGGGACATGTTACTAACAGGCAACACTTGCTGACAACGCACTGTGTACTAGGCACGGGGCTAAGAATTTAAATACAGGGTCCAGCACAAAGAATGCCCCTTGCATTAAAAAATCTTTTGTTACAAAATCATAAGCATGTCATTCTGTAACACAGCAGTATCACACTCAAGCACATCATATGACATTTTAGGTGTAAGTTCAAATTAAAACTGTAGATTACTACAACCATGTTATTACCTTACCAACCACACTCAAGCAGGCCTTACTTCTGCTGGACCCTGTATATTAATTCCTTTAGTTCTTATTACAAATCCGTGGTGTGTGGGTACAGTTACTATCTCAATTTGCCCCATGAGGAAACAAAAACAGATGAAGAGATTAAATAGCAAGTACCAGGTCACACAGGGCCTGGCAGTTAGGCTCCATAGTCTTAGGTCTTCCCTGACTGGCAAACGGAAGGGGACCCATACTTCTGTCTGCAAGCACAGCAGCCATCGCCCCACGTATTTAAAGCCATCAGGAGAAAAGGCACATTAACTCTCTCGATTGGTAAGAAGATCCAGGCCCTAACCCAGGCCCCACTTCCACCAGGGACCAGGACTTTCAAACAGGGCCCTCACCTCTGTTTTCTTCTAAAAGATGAGGGTCCTAGATAATAGCTCTCACATTGTAGGATTATCTATATGGACATCAGAGAGCAGTCTTAAGGCTTCAGGACGGAGGTCAGAAGGACCTAGTTGAAATCTGGCTTGGTGACTGTTGTCGGCAGAGGGGTGTAATTTAGCCTTTCTAGGCCCCAGTTTCTTCATTTGATAACAATGAATTTATTGTAAATGCTAAATGAGGCTATGCACACAAGTGTTGAATATGGTGTCTGGCATACAATACCCAACAAATGGTGGATGGTGGTATTATTATTATTATTATTATCATTAGCACCAACATCATTATTATTAATCATCATGACCTCAAATTCCACATTAGAAACTCTCACCCTTTTAATACAGGTATACTCTAATCTCATTTGGAAGGTTAACCCAGCTAACACATTTTCCTGGTTAAATCCTAGAACAACTAAAATTAAGGCCGAGTGGGAGCAGAGGAGACAGGGTAGGTGGTTAAAGGAAGCAGCGAGGTCCTGACGGTGGGCGGGGCCTTGACGGCTTCCCTCTTTATAACCCCGCCCCATCCCCAGGCTGCCCTTCTCACCACACTCCTGCTCCCAAGACCTGCGTGTAACCTCAAGGGCCCTTAAAAAAGCACTCCACCCAAAAGTCCTCATCTGCTGTAAGACCCTGACAAAGCCCCCACGGCAACTGTCCTTTCTAAAGTTTGAGTAGGGGAAGAGGAAAGGGTCGCCTAGCAGCTGCATTGTGTGCCATGGAACGCCTTAAAGCTGTCTGTGATTTTTCTCCTCCACAATGACAGGGAGGCCCTACTGTCCTAAGTACATGACCGTTTATAACGCACTTTCCCAGGTGTGATGTACTATGCGAAATGAGGAGAGATTACTGATTATTTTTTACAAATTAAAAAAATAACAATTAGAGTTAGGTGTTTGTGTTGCGACTGATCAGGGCCAGGCAGGTTCGTGGGATTCGTGGATATGGAAGAGTATTCACAGAGCCGTTGGGATGTCTGATGGGCCTTTATTTGAGGGAGCCACGCAGGCCACAAGCCTGTGTCTATGTCTGCGCCCCCACTCCACTCACGTCCAGTGAGAAGCCTCTACCTTCTTAAGTAATAACACAAACAGAGCCGGCTTCAGGCCAAAAAGTGAAGTAACACAGCATGAGCTGCGCCTGCGAGCCCGCTTCATGTTATGGGAACCGCTGATGGCACCCTCACTCAAGGCTGTGAGAACACTGCTTTATCAGACCCCTTCGAGGTTGTGAGAAACTGCTTCTCTCAGTTACCCACGCACCTGGGTGAGGGAGCCAGTCCACTTCCCCTACAGTGCTCATCTGTAGAAAAACCAGGATAAGGCCTCGGGTCTCCTAACTTCAAACCCGGCTCTTCTCAAGACCCGCACTGCGCCTTGGAGCTGGACCTTCTATCAGCCCAGCCTATAGGCTTTCCCTTTCTCTCAGCCTCCATGCCTTGAAGCATGTATAGCCTATCCTGGCTTGTTTCACCCATCGAATGTGTGTATGACTTAGCCCTCCAATGAAACTGTGCATTCTTCAAAGCTGGGTTCATGCTGAACACGCATGGACATCTCTTAAGCAGCAATCACCTTAGCTCACAACCAGTTCACAAAAATGTCATGATTAAGAGTTTGACCTTGGAAATCACCATATAATCATATGTGACTTAAGATAACAAAGACCTAAGTGAATCCCAGTTCTAATGCTTAGCAAAGTTACTTCACTTCTCTGTGACTTCACTTCTTCACGTTTCATGGGTAACAGGATTTATCTCATAAGGTTACTGTGAGAATGAATGAGAGCTTGATTCAGGTGGCAGTGTAAACTATACAAAACAGAATGCTTTTATTATTGTTATATTAAATCAACATCATCACATTTTTATAGTTAATAAGACCAAGTTTGGGGCCCAGTATCTTCTACTTTTACCGTCTCTGCAATGTATATCACACAGGAAGTGCTTAGTAACACTCAGAAATTACAGAACATGACAACTGTAAGGAAACGCAGTGAGTCATCTGGTCAACCCTCTCATTTTGCAAATTAGAAAATTCAGGGCCAGCAGATAACGCATCTGTTCAATATCCTTCAGCTAGTAATAATAACCTACACATTTGTGTAGCAATGGCTAATTACAGAGTTTTATTCACCATGAGACATGATATTGAGGCAAAGACCACCAGGAACACAACCGAGGTCGAGCAAATTTGAGTTTATCAGGCCACAGAGAATCACAGGTGTCTCAGTAAGAGGAAGAGCGGGGATCCTCACCATACAATTCGGGCTTATTCAGTGATCTGGGGGAGGGGGTTCAAGGAAGTGTAGTTTTACTCCAGTCGCAGGGATGTCCAACCTTTTGGCGTCTCTGCGCCACATTTGAAGAAGAAGAGTTATCTTGGGCCACACGTTAAATACATTGCAACATGTGATCACAAAAGAATCTCATACTGTTTTAAGTAAATGTACGATTTTGTGTTGGGCCGCATTCACAGCCACCCTGGGCTGCGTGCGTCCCGTGGGCCACACACTGGACACCCCCGCAAGCGCAGTAGGGGCTGTCACAAAACAGGAATTCTTTGGCCAGGTATCCTTACAATGTTTACCTAGAAGGCAGGAGGCACAGAGCAGGGCTTGAGCTATAATTGGTAAAGAAACAGCAGGCTGAACAAGGAGCGTGTTTGATCATTTTTGTGGACTCCAGTTGTTCCTGTTTTCATCTGTGCCTTGTCTTGATTAGGGAGCGGTCGTTTTTGTCATCACCATCACAGAATGGCCTTGCTGCATGTTGCTGTGCTGGGGAATTCTTCATGCCCAACAGAAGACTGCCAGGGCCTAGCTACCTCAGCCAGCAGCCACGAGTTGCTGGGGTTTTTTCTTTGCTCGGTAATTTGTTCAACAATTCACAACACGTGTTTGTGTCAGGAAAGCATGACGGAGTTCGAGACATAAAGTAAATAAAGGTCCTAACCCTTAAACAGGTTACATTCCAATGGGGGAAGGAGTTCATTAAAAATAAACATAATACATTAAAAATGTCAATCCTATCATGTGTTGGAAGGTGATAAATCCTGACTGGTGTGGCTCAGTGGGTTGGACGTCATCCCGTAAACCAAAAGGTCACTGGTTCGATTCCTGGTCAGGGGACATGCCTGGGTTGCAGGGTCAGTCCCCAGTTGGGAAATGAGCAAAGGCAACTGATCCATGTTTCTCTCACACATTGCTGTTTCTCTCCCTCTTCCTCCCTTCCCCCTCTCTAAAAATAAACAACTAAAATCTTTTAAAAAAAAAGAAAAAGGTGATGCGTGCTATGGAAATAAAGAAAACACAGAGCAAGGGGGACTGGGCATGGCAGGCAAGGACAGTGACAAGCAGGATTCCTCCATAGGACATATAAACACAGACTAGCAGGAAGGGAAGGAGGTGACCGTAACAAAACATTCCTAAGAGAAATCGGCATCTCAGAAATGAGAAAACTGAGAGTTGGAGAGGTCAGGGGTCATGTCCAAGACTGCCCAGCAATTACATGGTGGAATCAGGGTGCCCCAGGGTCCTCCGATTCTCTGCCACCAGCTGCCTTTCCAACACAAACTGGATCAAAGGGCATCTGGTGCAGGACAGACTCCAGACTCCTGGGCCAAAGTGTGGGCTCTGAAGTCAGAGAGAGCCTCCACTTTCTCACGCCCGCCCAGGTTTACAACACGACTGGGCACCCGCACTGTAGGGGAACAGAATACACCACCCCAAACCATGCCGCTCTGCACAAGGACTAGGCTGAGCAGAAGGCACTGACAAAAAGCAGACACAGGCTGGCTCTCTGTGCTTTCCCCGACGGCCTGGAAGCAGGGCAGGAATTCCCCTGGGCGGGTGCCCCCCACCCTTCCCACACCAGGAAGGGGCGGGCAACCTTATCATCAGAAATAGAAAGGGCACCAGAAAGAATCCGTATAAACAAAACTGGCTGGATAGCCCTTTTCTATCATCAGCGCCCCCACATATTTACCTTCCCACAATGTACCACCCCTAAAAAAGTCCCGAAGCCCCTTTTCTTTGTACTGTCACCTCTCTCCAAGTGTATCCTTTGTCAGAATAGTATAAAAGCTTTCCATCTTAACTGCTTCTGTGGAGATTTCCTCCCTTCTGCAAAGCCCCCGCGCGCTCCACCCTCCTGCCACCTAAACCTTTTAATATTCAATTAAATGTGTACACTTTCCCCCAGTTAACCTGTCAGCTTATTTCATGGGCCCAGACTCTGAATCTAAGAGGGCAGAGGGCCATCGTTCCTCCCCTGTTACAGTTCCACCTACGAAGTGCGTCCCCCGTTGCAGCAGCCAGGCCATCT